AAAAAAAACGAAGAGCTGGCAATTTCGAGGCTAGGAGGCTGCGCGCGAGAATAAGCACCAACGTTGAGTGCCCTGTATAAAGAGGCGTTCCCGACGTGGGACAAATCAAAGTCATAGATGACTCAGGTGTCTGTACTGCCTAACAAGGCGTGTCGGATGCGTCTCGGTCATTGTCCGCCTGTCAGGGGGGCGAGAACTGGTAGACTGACTATGCCCAAGCTTTACGAGCTCGAAACACCGCAATGGTATCTGACTCTCGAATTGACAGTGACACTGGGTGATAGTTCTAACCATCTGGGGTTATGAAGAGCGGCTCAGCAGCTGCAACTTTCCTCTATTCTTTCTCAGCCTGTCTGACTCTTTCGCGTTTATAGTCCCATTCGTACGGAATTTGAACTCTTCATTGAATGCAATACTCAGCTCTTCCTCCAAGAAGTAAAATATACGCAGAAAATCAAAGCGAGTCTTATCCATCTTACAACCCTCCATGATGATTGAATTACTTACTGTCTCCGGGGGTGGGACAGACACCATTGAAGAGATGAAGGTCCTGAATCCAGGAAGTAGCCCGCCAGATTTTGTCTTCTTTGACCGGTAGACAAGAGCTTAGAGGCATCCAATTTGCCTGGTCGGCGAATCAAATACTCGCAACATCTGTCGCTTTAAAATCTTGGTAGGAACCCCATTTTTACCCCAAAAAAAATTGCACGCAAGTGCTTTTTCCCACATCTGGTCTTTTAGCTTGAAGACAGCATGGGCGATCCCATTACCTTCGTTTAAAGCACAGCAGATTCCATAGCCATCTTAACTCCACTTGTCTTTGAGAAAATATTTCTTGCGTTACGGCGTTAAATCAGTGAAATAGAAATGTTCCCTTACCGGCTTATAGATGAGTTGCCACTAGATGTGGTTTAACGGCGCATCCATTAAGATGGTGAGCGCTTCCGAACGAGCAACTGGTGTCTCTGACCCTTTGACCACCTCTTTACTCAATTCCGTCGGGACATAGGCCGTCGTGACATAGGCTGTTAAGACGGTTAAGCTGTCCCGGCGGCTGTAACAGGATATGTACCCTTGTGTAAAAGAGAGGTCACACAAGACGGTGTGACCGTACAGAGGTGAGGATTACACAAGATGAAGTCATCACACAGCAGTGTGGCTACACCGTGACAAGAAGCCACTACATAGCAGGATTACCAGTAGTAATGCATATCAATTAGGTTTTGCTATAGTAATCAGGTATTACTATTTTAATTAGGGAACCTAAGGTTTTAGATATAGGCGGCTCTGCCGCAAATAAGAAATTTAATACAGTTTTAATCCTAAACGAAAGAGTTCTACACCTTGCTTAAGATTTTTGAGTACATGGGAGGTAGCGGATTGCGATCCGCTACACTCGTATCGGTTCTTGTATAGAACATAAGGTCGGTGACATTAGCTTAGCTTCCTCTAAGCAAAGAGCTACGGCAGCCTCGCTGCACTTGGTAGCACTTGTAGTCAACAGCTAACACGGACGTGTCGGGGCCCATGCAAACGGTATCGAAAAGACGAGCAAGATATGTGCTAACATTTGTGGATGATTTTTCGCGTTTGTGGTTGCTTACTTCCTGAAAAGTAATAGTGAGGTCGCCGCGATGCTCGCCAAATATAAGACGTCTTTCGAAAAGCAAAGGGGGGAGCTAATTAGATGCATTCGCTCTGACAATGAAACGGAATACGTGAACAAGAAGGTCACAGCTATATGCTCCCTGGATGGTATCATGCATCAGCGATCGGTACATTATAGCCCCCAACGAAACGGTGTAGCAGACGGAAATCGCACTATCGGATGGCAAGAAGCATGCTTCATTACAAGAACATGTCAATGATCTGGTGGGCAAAAGCTGTAAGCACTGCAGTCAATTTAACTAATAGGTCTGTAAACGATGAACGAAGTGACATGACGCCGTACGAAAGAAGTTTTAAGCAGAAACCACGAATGACACACCTGCGTGTGTTTGGGTCCCAATGGTATGATCACGTTGACATTACGAAAAGTCAGAGCTCGACCTTAAGAGCTATAAGTGCATGGTTTTTGGGTGTGTTAAAAACGCAAAGGGGTATCGTGTTCATGATTTGGAATCATCAGAAATCAAGATTACACGATCTGTTCAGCTTGATGAGAGTAAAGACAAAGGTACTGACGACACCCCGTGTTTGGATAAAGAATCAGTTACTCATATATTCAAGGAAATAAATGAAGAAGCGACTAAATTTCCCGCCGAGCGATAGCCGGTGATAGACGATCCTGTGAGCAGTGTCGAGGTATTTAATTAAGATATTGAGATGGACGAGGTCGAATCAGAGCGCAATATCAATCTGGAGCGACCTCTAGCACTCGAAAAATGGAGAGCACTTGGGTAAGAGCTGACAGAATATTACTCTCCGCGAATAATTGGGGAGAATCGTTTGGAATTTGTCCCGGCATAGAGCAATCAAGGCGTTCTCGGGAGCCAGCTTTGTTACGGAAGACGGCTTGGAGCTGGATGATGAAAGAATATCGAAAGAAACAAGAAAATCACTGCCTCAGAAGCGCTCGATAATTGACGAAGATGTATTGCTTGCCGAAGCAGTGTTAGCGTATGCGGCAAGAATCGACGGGTTTTCTGACATTCCAAACACATACGCTGAAGCACGTGCAAGTGATGAAGCAGTGGTGTGGCGAGCAGCAATGAAGACTGAACAAAACGGCATTTGGTCAATTGTATCGCGCAGAACTGCTCGTCCGATTGGATATTGATGTAGTTTCGCTAAGAAGCGTGGTGAGAACGGCCAGGGCATTCGTTAGAAGGCATGGCATGGCAAAAAAGACATTTAAACAAAAGTACGGTGTGATTTTTTTGAGACGTATTCCCCTGTAGCGAACATGAGTTCGATTCGGGTTGTATTTGTTGCTTGCGTCGCAGACGGATATAATATGGAACAGCTGGATGCAGACACTGCGAAATAGTGAGTTAAGTGACCGAGTCTATGTGAAGATTCCGTTTAAAGTTAGACTACTATAGATCATAATTATTTGCTGAATAAGGCCATCTACGGGTTAAGAAAAGCAGCAAGCGCCTGAAATAGAACGATTCATGAAGTCTTCGTTTCGAATGGTTTGAAGAGCTGTGGCGCGAATCTGTCTCTAAGAGCGAATACATCTTTGTTTGCCTCTACGTGAACGATATGATAATTGCAGGCCACTACCCGTGCAGAGATCCGTGAAGTCAAAGATGCCCTCGAGAGTTCGTTCAAAATAAAGCGGCTTGGTGACGCAAAGTTTATCTTGAGAATAGATATTTATCACGACCAGAGTGTCGGAACGCTTATGATCATACAAAAGCGTTACATTGGCGATGTCACGGAACGATTCGGTCAGCAGTACGCCAAGACGACCGATAACCTATGTACCTACAATCTCAAGCTTTCCAAAGAACACATCGCCAGGAACAGATGCAGAAGCTACTGAAAATGCAGTCAAAGCCATATCGCTCTCATCGACTGTCTTATGAACATAGCAACATGTGCTAGTCTGGACATTGCCTACGTTGTTCCGCAACTGTCAAGGTTTCTTAAAAATTCTGGAATACTGCATTGGCGAGCCGCGATTTGTGCGCTAAGATACTTGAAGTTAACGCGCCTGCATCGAATTGTATATGAAGGAGACCAGCAACATTTTGGTTGAATCATCCGCGGACGCAGACTGGGGAAGCACTATCGATGACAGACGATCTATATCTGGCGTGATGGTCAAAATCAGTAATGGACCGGTGGTGTTCAAGTCGAAATTTCAAAGAATTGTGGCACTGAGTTCAGCAGAAGCCGAGTACATGGCACTAAGCCTGTGCAGCCAGAAAATTTTGTGGACGCGCGCGATGTTGAAAGAGATGGGCAAAGATCAGATTATGCAACGAAAGTCTGAGAAGACAATCAAGGGGTCAAGGGGCAATAGCACTGGCCCAGAATGCGGGATATTATGTCAGAAGTAAGCCTGTCGACATAAAGCATCAATCCACGCGAGAAAACAGAACGATCCAGACCTACTGCGTCGACACAAAGCATCAGCTCGCAGACATGCTTACCAAGCCACTGGCCTGTCCGTGTGTGACTACTGCTGCTTTTGTAGCATTTTCCGTTTGACGCAAATGACCTACGCGCGGCTAAGACGCGTCGTAACACTTTTCTAGTCATTCGCTTGCCTAACAAAGTATAGGATACCTCTGGTTTTACCCAGAGTTTAGGATTATGATCTCAAACAGCGATGAGGACGACGAAGGGACCAAGACGCTCAATTTCCTCCTCGAAAAGACTGGCATCAAGAAGCAAGTATCAAAGAAAGATCAAAATAAGCGGTTGGTGGGAGTGTTGAAGCTCACCGCTGGATGTGCGTGGATGACATTATAAGTATTACGGTAAGGTTTACAGTTACTATAATGATAAAGGATATTGATTACGGACATAATGGTTGTCGTCGATTAAATCTAAATAAAAAACGTAGCTTGCAGAAGCTTCTAGAATGATCAAGATGGATAGGCTTAGATTTAGAACAGGGTAGCGAAATAAAGACATAAACAATTTTTACCAGCAAAACAACAACGACAACATAATCAAATGAGACCTGTCAACAATTGCCAACTTCCGACCTGATCGAATTTGATCAAAATGCAATTACGTTTCGGCAACACAAAGCAAACGTTCAGTATGAAACTATTCTCTCTATTTGTCGCAATTGCTTTTGTCAGTCTTGTCACAGCCGATGTTGACAGCAATTGTCCCAGGGATAACTCCTAGCATTATTTTCCCTACTTTGAAGCTACACTTCGTCGCATATTCATTTTGGCTACACGTTTTCGTGAAGTATAATTGAAGGTATAATCAGTGTGTGGAATGACCCATCACTACCATCAATCGACCATGAAGAAAGCACTTCGCAATTCCAGCAGAATATCATTGACATATACAGACCTTTGCCGATTTTCGACTTGATATGGAGCACTCATAACGCAATTGTTTTCGACAACACCAAGTAAGCGTACAATATGAAGCTCTTTACTCTTTTTGTCGCCACAATGACTTTTGTCGGTCTTGCCAT